GTTAAAAGGATAGTCTTCTTTTCCTGAATTTGAAAAAATGAAAATTTTTAATTCTAAATGCCATCTATTGATCTTCCCTTAGCCAAATCTACAGGAGAGATCATAAGGAATTTTCTAGATCTTTATTTGTAGAGAGATGATTTTCAATGTGTTGCCATTTAAATGATACCACCACCAATTACTGTGGTGGGAAAATAGCCTTATCTGCAGAATTTTGGTAGTTTATTGAAAAAAGCTGAATACAGAATACTTCGGGCATCCTGACAAAGTCAATAAAGAATGCAGGATAGGGCCGGCCCCGTGGCTTAGCGGTTAAGTGCACGCGCTCCGCTGCTGGCAGCCCGGGTTCGGATCCCAGGCATGCACCGCTTCTCCGGCCATGCTGGGGCCACGTCCCACATACAGCAACTGGAAGGATGTGCAGCTATGACATACAACTATCTACTGGGGCTTTGGGGTGAAAAATAAATAAATAAAATCTTTAAAAAAAAAAAAAAGAATGCAGGATAAAAATCATTAACGTAAGACATCTCCTGTACGTATGTTACCGGCACATTGGGTCCTTGTTGTCCCCCAAGATGGAAATCAAGAAAGACAACAAACCAGAGTAGGAAAGTAAAAGTTTATTAGCTTGTGCACAAGGGAGGCACAAGGGAGCCGGTGCAGAAAGGAAAGGGGCAGGTGACTGGCTCGTTAGGGAGTGGGATTATGGGGCTTTTATCAGGCAAAGGCTGGGGAGGAGTGCCTTGTCATGGCATGTAAACGTGGGGTTTTTCTTGTGCCTGCACTGTCATGTCACATGCTACTACATGGGATGCATGTATCATTAGCATGCTAGCTCTCCACTCCTAGGTGTGATTTTTAGTATGGTAATGGGGCTAGGGTCACCTTCAGTGGACTCCTGGGTGCTAGGGCACATGCGTAAGCCTAGAAAAGTCCTGAAACTGCAGAATGTGGATCTTGGTGGTCTCTTTCTGATTCTCCTAGCTTGCCGATTGGTTCATGGCCTTATCTTGTTAGGCCAGGGGCCTTGCAGATGGCCCTGTCTCATTAGGCTGGTTCCTGTCTCAATTGCACATACATTAGAGCAATGAACTACCACGACAGCACAGCTTTGCTCTTGATTTTTACCATTCTGACCTTTCCTAAATATCCTCTTTACCTCTCCCTCCAATTGCTCTGTGTTTTCAGGAAAGAAAAAAGAATCACAACTTGTAGACAAAGCTTTGAGTGTGGTCAAGATTCCAATACAGCAACGTGCTCAGCTTCATTCTCTCACTTCTCATACTTCAGTACTCAGGCTCAAACTTTACAGAGCTCTTACCTTTTTACACCTGTCACAGTTATTTCCCCAGAGCTATTTCCTCCACTCTTTTCAAATAACCATAGAATCATTATTAATAACTCTCAAGAATTTTTCCAGTGATAATCTCAACTCCCTGTGCAAACCTCTACCTATAATAACAGGTGAAATGGTAATCACTTCACAGCAAAGAGATGACCTGGTATCCCAAACATTTGTCTCAGGGTGCATATGACCCGTTTTGGACTTATACTCCGACTGTGACAATGACAGACACAATCCAGGCAAGAAATGGCATTCAAAAGGTCGCACTCCTTTTCTGACAGGTCTCAAATCTTAAAAGCAATTCTATGTATCTTGGGATATGGATAGGAAATATTATCTGGAAGAAAACAGTATTACTTGCTGGATTGAATACAATCACTGATTATACAGGAATGAGAAAAGTTTTCTGAGGAAATCTGTCCACTGGCTTCAAGGCAGCTCAACGTCCCTCTTTCTTCCACTCCGTGGCCCTGTCTGGATTTTTTTCTCTTGTCCCTAACCAGAACTGAAGTTCATAAAACTGATGCTGAAGCTTCAGTCTATATGTATTTAAAAAGCAACAAGGTAATAGTCATTAGCTCCCAGGTATGAGCGCACACAGAGACTTTATGGTGTGGTGTGTCATCTGAAATAATGTCTCCAAACATTTCTGTGATTGGTGCAGACTACACTCCAGGGAATCTGGGTTCGGGCCCTTTAAGAGGAACGAAGCCCCGCCTCGTATGTGGGGACTGGCCGTCCCATTTACCGACGCGCTCTTCCCGGCGTCACTCGCTCTTTTCCCCGGGAGCCCAGGCCGGGAAACACTCCTCTGGACAGCTGGCTCAGCGAGAACTACATTACCCAGAAACCTGTGCGCCCCGGCACGTCCAGTGAAGGCCCGGGAGGGGGGCGCTTCCGTGCGTGCGGAGGATATGGGAACGGGACTTCCGGCGTCCTCTCCGCAACAGACGTTTTGTAGGCTCTTGTGAGGTTCTGCGGCGCCTGGGGATTTGGAATGTTTGGTCGCGCCGGAGGGGGAGGAATAGGGAAAGCGCGTTTGGAGGCGTTGTCCCTACTGCACGGAGGCGAATCCGAGGCTTGGCCGGGGCGGGGCTTGGGTCGGCGGTGTCCGCGTCCTGGACTCAGACGCCCGCCTGTCCGGTCCTGCTCCGCCCGCAGAGTCCGATGGCGGCGGCCGCGCAGAGAGAGCCGGCTCAGGTCAGTGCCCGTGCTCCGCGCCCTCCCCGCCCTCGCCCAGCCCAGCCGTAGAGCCCCGAGTGCGGGCGCTGCTCACGTTTATCAGTCTAGATCCCTGTGTGCAGAACAGTGGGGAGTTTATGGTTGGGGTCCCATTTTTGAAAGCCAGTGTGATGACGTGGAGGGGAGTGTTAACAGGAAGAGGGACCGGCATAAGCAAAGGCATTCGAGGTGGGACTGAACCAGAAGCTTTCGAGAGATCCATGTCATATCAGCAGCACGGAGCAGAGTGTGAGGAGTTGTGCTTTCATTTTGAGGACTCTGGGGGCCATAAGAGTTTTGAATAGAAGAAAGGATTTATCTGAGTGGGAATTTTAAAAGGATCCCGAATTTTGCGCAGGGCCAAACAGATTAAGTTGGGGAGGGGAACATGAGGATGGATGCATGGAGACCAGTAAGGTGGCTCGATTGCAGTGGACTCCAGCAATATTTTGATGGTGAATGGACCAGAATAGTGCTAGGAGAGGGGGAAGAAGTGATTAGATTCTGGATAGAATTTTAAAAAAGAACCAACAGTATTTCCTGGTGCATCAGATGTGGCTGTGATTGATGATAAGGAGTGAAAAACCAAGGTTTTAGTTTTTGTTTTTTGTTTTTCATGGACATCTTGAAAATGGAAATCAGGAAGTCAACGTAGGGAAGAGGTTACAGGGGAATCCAGAAGTTGGACACGGTTGATTTTGAGATGTCTCAGTGCAGGTGTCCCATGGGCAGCTGGACTGGAAGGTCTGGGGTTCTGGAGAGGGGGCTGGAATGGAGATGTCTATGGGGTGAGGAGAGTGGTCCGGACTAAGTCAGGCCTAGAGAGCATTTTTAGGGGGAACAGTCTTAAGTACATTATTTTAAATGGTCCTGGATGAGAGAGGAGGGCTGTGGCTGGGAGGCAGGAGAAAAATGGTAGGCATTCCTGCGACGTCCCTCCAGAAACGGAGGGAAGAGGGAGAGGTCCTGGCATTTGAAAGGGTTCTGTCCAGTGTCTGCATGAGAAGCAGGCTGTAGAGTATGAGGAGCCAGGCCTAAGATGGCGACCGAAGTTGGGGTGCTGTCAAATTGCTACCATCTAATGACCTCACCCTCACTTTTGAGCAACCTGTTTTGAACAACACACACTGAAAAGCAACTCCGGTGCCAGGGGTGATTCCACTACATTCAGTCTTGCCAAAGTCCCAAAATACCTCAAATGCGTTATGATAAATTTTCCCAGTCTCCTTATGTTTTTGACTAAATAAATTTTCCAAGGACAGGCTTATTGGGGGCATCTTGCCTCACAGGAAGTTCATACCAAAGAATCCCTTTAATATAAGTTGTCTTGACACAGGAAATGTTTCTGCTCACACTCCCTGTGTATTATTTGATTTTAATGAGTGTAGAGGTGACAAAACCCTACCTCTACCTATCTTAGGTTTTCAGCTGGGACTCTTTAACAAAAAAACAGATTAACAAGAGAAAAACAGTTTATTAACGTGTGCTGCACACATCACAGAGGAGAAACCTAAATCAAAAGTAACTCAAAGTGGCGGCTTAGAATCCCAGCTTCTATAGCATCATCAACAAAGAACAATAAATTTGTAGAGAAATGACAGGATGAAGAAAAGCAGTTTTAGGCTTCCAAGGGCAGCAAATTGTGGGAATGTAAATATATAGGAGGAAACCAATGGAGTACGGTTTGTTTGCAGATTCCTTTGGTGCCAGTCTCTGGGCTAAGAATCTGTCTCCAGTAAGACAAGAATTGATATCGTGCCTTTAGGCAGAAAAGGGGAAGCTTTTTCTGTGTCTGCTGTTTTTTAATTGCCTTTAGCTCAAAATAATTTTTATGTCAAAGAGGCATATTTTGGGATGATATATTCTGGTATCCTTCGTGAGATACACAACAGCCAGGAAAAGTTCACGTTATCTAAATTCCTAGATTATTTTCACTTTGTATCCTCTATCAAATTGATTTTATGAGAGAATTAAGTGTTAAAGAGTCCATTATAGGTAGTGAATTGATTTTTCTGTACATTTAGACTGGTCCTAGATTTGTACCTTCGTTGGGGTATTTAAGACAATGTTCACTAAAATCATTTTCTGTAGGAGCCAATTCTCTCATGGAACCCTATTTGAGAAAGGCTGCTTAAGATTATGGTCACACCAATTCTAGTGTGAAGGGGTGGGTTTTCCAACACTTCCAAGCAATTTTACAACACCAGCTGGATGTCCTACAGTTCAACTCAATTCTGACACTGTTTGCCAGGAGATAGCATCAGATCCCACAGGTTAAGGGCTCAGTCCTGTAAGACTGCCCCTCCCCCTTTCAGATGCCAGTCACAACCCCATGTTGTGACCTGCCCTTCTGACAGACCGGCTGTAGATTGGAGGTTCCAGCGATCCCCTCCTTGGGTTCGATTAATTTGCTAGAGTGGCTCAGAACTCAGGGAAATGTTTTACTTACTAGATTAACAGTTTATTATAAAAGGATGTAACTCAGGAACAGCCATATGGAAGCTCTCATAGGACAAGGTATGGGGAAAGGGCGCAGACCTTGCATGCCTTGCAGGTGCACTGCTCTCCCTTCGTTCACCAACCTGGAAGCTCTCTGACCCCCTTCCTGGGTTCTTAGGGAGGCCTAATTACATGGGTGTGATTGATTAAATCATTGGCCATTGGTGACTGAGCTAAATGGGGGAGAGGGGCTGAAAGTTCCAACCCTCCAGTCAGACGGTTGGTTCTCCTGACAACCAGCTGTCATCCTTAGGTGCTTTCCCAAAGCCACCACTTTAACATAACAAAAGTCATCTTTATTGCTTTCATCACTTAGGCAATACCAAGAGTTTTAGGAGCTCTGTGCCAGAAGCAGGGACAAAGACCAAATATGTGTACAGTTGTGCATCGCTTAATGATGGGTATACGTTCTGAGAAATTCATCGTTAGGCAGTTTCATCATTGTGTGAACATCATAGAGTGTACTTAGAAAAACCTAGGTGGTATAGTCTACTACACGCCTAAGCTCTATGGCACTAATCTTACGGGACCTCTGTCGTATATGTGGTCCATTGTTGACCGAAATGTCGTTATATGGCACATGACTGTATTTCTTGTTATAAATCACATTATCACACTGTTCTACTAAATAAATATACATATATTCACAGAGAATTCAGAAAATTTGTGATCTATATTGTGGCTTCATTTTTCCCTTAGTGAATGTAAGTTTTTAAATGTTCAGCAGTGTAAAACCAAGATGAATGTGTATCTTCTGAATATTCTATTTTTAATATCATCTGTATGCTTATTCTTTGTTTTATTTGTCTCTCTCTTTTTTTGTGTGTGAGGAAGATCAGCCCTGAGCTAACATCTGTCACCAATCCTCCTTTTTTTTGCTGAGAAAGACTGGCCCTGGGCTAACATCCGTGCCCATCTTCCTCTACTTTATATGGGACGCTGCCACAGCATGGCCTGACAAGCAGTGCATCAGTGCGCGCCCAGGATCTGAACCCGGACCGCCAGCAGCAGAGCGTGTGCACTTAACTGCTGCACCACGGGACTGGCCCCTATTTGTCCCTTTCTGAGAGGATAGACAAGAGCGAGTAATTTATACATTTGTATCCACAGTTGTGTTCAGTTTTTTTGCTTTAAATATTTTACATATTTTAATTATAGAAGAGATTGTCAGGCTGTATTAAATGCATGGGCAAACTCCGTGCAGCCTATAATAAATGATCCTTAATTACAAAAATAGAGATAAGCTAAAAGGTATGGAATGAAATATGACATGAATACTAACCATAAGAGGGTTGGAGTAGTTATATTAATATAAGGAAACATCAACTTCAGGAAAAGTAATATTGTCAAAGATAATATAGTGACATTTTATAATATTAAACAAGTAATTTAATCAAGAAGATATAACTGCTAAGTGTATTTGTACCTAAGAACAGGCCTTCAAAATCCTTTCCTCTCAATAATTAATAGAATAGACAGAAAAAAATGTAAAGATGTAGAAGGCATGGCCAACATCATCAACTAACTTGATTCAGTAGATATGCATACAGCAGAATACACGTTCTTTTCAAGTATACTTGGTGAATGTTCCATTCACCAAGACAAACCAAATGCTGGTACATAAAATAAATTTGAGTCAGTTTTAAAATTGAAGTAATACAGATTATATTCTGTAAAGAAAACTAAATTAGAAATTTTAAAGTATCTTAGAAAATCCACAGACATTTAAATTTTTTAGAACACTTAAATTATCAAAGAGTAAAAGAAGAAATAAGGAAAACCAATAGAAGATAAACTAGAAGCATATTTTTGTGAAATAGGCAAGGGGAATTTACATGTAATCAACTAGCCCTGGTGATCTAGTAGTTAAGATTCCATGTTCCCACCTCCATGGCTCAAGTTTGTTTCCCCATCAGGGAACCACGCCACCCATCTGTTGCCACACTGTGGCAGCAGCATGTTGCTGTGATGCTGAAAACTATGCCATTGGTATTTTTAAATACCAGCCGGGTCCCATGGTAGACAGGTTTCAGTGGAGCTGACAGACTAGGAAGAAGAACCTGGCCACCCACTTCTGAAGAAATTGGCTATCAAAACTCTATGAGTGTCAGTGGAGCCTTGTCTGATATAGTGTCGGAAGGTGAGAGGATGGTGCAAAAAGGCTGGGCAGAGTTCCGCTCTGCTGTACATAGGCTCACTAGGAGTCCGAATCAATTCCACAGTACTAACAACAACAAATTTAAATGTATCACTAAAAAGCAAAATATATTACGTGGAAAACTGATAAATATATTTCTAGAATTGTAGGCTTCTATTCCATAAAGCTCATGGCAGGCAAAATTTAGAGTCAAGAAAGATTGAGAGGGAGGCCAGCCTTGTGGCGTAGTGGTTAAGTGCATGCACTCTGCTGCTGGTGGCCCGGGTTCCGATCCTGGGTGCGCACCAATGCACCACTTGTCAGGCCATGCTGTGGTGGCGTCCCATATAAAAAGTGGAGGAAGGTGGGCACAGATGTTAGCCCAGGGCCAGTCTTCCTCAGCAAAAAGAGAAGGATTGGCATGGATGTTAGCTCAGGGCTGATCTTCCTTGCCAAAAAAAAAAAAGAAAGAAAGATAGAGAGAGGATATCTCCAGTGTCTAAAAATGCCAAGGGATCAACACATAGGCCATACAAGGAAATAGTATTAATTAGAATAAGAAATAAGATTCCAACCTAAATGGCTAAAATAGGATCGGACAGTCAATGGAAGAGGAAATCCAGGTGGCTATTAGGCATATGAAAAAATATTCAAATATTTAAATTTTAGAAATACACACAAAATACACCTGTTTTTACAGAACACACAATGTAAAGAAAATTCTAAGGCATCTGAAAATTTTACTAGAACTAGCGTCATGAAGATAGACATAAATAGCACTAAGACAATAGTTAGCAAATAAAATTCAGCAATATGTAAAAAGAATTATACGCCATGACCAAAACAGATTTATTTCAGTGATGCCAGGCTGGTTTAATATTAGAAAAATAAAGAACGTTATCCAGCATATTAACAGGCTAAAGAAGAAAAATCACTGGCTTAAGTGATTGTAGCAAAGTGCTATGTACAAGTTCTCTCTCTCTCTTTACATATATGTATAAATAACGTGTTTGGGAGGGTAGACAGACAGATATAGATGTAAATGAACTGTAGTCTATATGTCAACAGTACATAGAAAACAAAAATTGAATGATGAAATTTTACAAATCAACTCTACTATCGCATCAAAAAATAAAATGCTTAGGAATGAATATAATGAAATATGTGCACATTCTTTCATTATATTCATTCCTAAGCATTTTATTGAAAACTACAAAATTGTTTAAATATTACTGAAAACTTTGAAGTTTGGTTGAAATCTACAAAACACTGCTGCTGACAGAAATTAAAGATGACCTAGGGGCCTGCCCAGTGGTGCAGAGGCTAAGTGTGTGCGCTCCGCTTCAGCGGCCCGGGGTTCACAGGTTCGGATTCCGGGCGTGCACCGACGTGCCGCTTGTCAGGCATGCTGTGGCGGCGTCCCATATAAAGTAGAGGAAGATGGGCACGGATGTTAGCCCTCGGATGTTGGCCAATCGTCCTCAGCAAAAGGAGGAGGATTGGCAATGGATGTTAGCTCAGGGCTGGTCTTCGTAACAATAACAAAAAAAGATGACCTAAATAAACAGAGCGATCTTTTCCATAGAATTCGGTGGTTTCACTTTTCCTCCCTTCCAAGGATTTTGTACTCCCTTTGGTCTCCAGTATCAAGTGATGGTGCGCCACTGGAGACTGACCCTGGTGAACCTGAGTCAAGAGAATTCAGCCTGAGCTTCCATTGACCACACAGATCAACCTGGGACCAGTTTACCCGAGGACGGTTGGGCAGGGCAGGGTGGGTGAGGTTCTAGTTCCTGCCGGAGGTGAGCGCCTGGAACCCTCTGAATCAAGGGTGCAGGTCAAGAGAATGTGGATGGTCAGGAGTCACTTTCTGTCTTCCAAAGCGTGACAGATTTGAAGCACTGTTGGGAGAATGACCAGAGAATGGCATGTAATTCCCCAGGTAATAATTCCAATTATGTGCTGTGGATACTATTAATTCCCCATTTCAGAAATGAGGAAACTGAGGTGTGGAGAGGTGAGGCTTCCTGCCCAAGGCACCATAATCAGTAATGAGGTTACTAGCTGCAAACCCAGGTAAGCTTCTCCCTAGAGCTCAGGCCCTGAAGTCAGACACTAGACGCCATGTGGTAGATTCCATTGCCAGTTTGAAGCCAAACACCACATGATTGGTTCTAATCCAAGTTCAAAGTTTGTGGATTTGAAAGTAAGATATAGAAGAATTGTGCCACAAAGTTTGAAATGATGTCAACTCTATGCTGTACTTACTCTTGAGGAAAAATATTTCTTAAATTGTAAACCTTGAGTTATCTTGCCTAGAAGAATGTATCCCTAGTGCTTCAGACTACCTGAAATTTATATCATTTTTTATGTGTGATTTTTTTTCTTGAAATAATTTTAAGTGGCAGAGATTGTACACACTGTGCCAACCTATAAAATTTTTAATCATTCCTGTCAGGGCTACCCGTAGGTCTGGGGTATGTGTATTTGAATTTTGACAGATACTGCCCTTAACTCTGCAAATAGGCAAGCTTGACTTATGTCCCCCAACATGGGTACATGAGAGGCCAGACTTGTGATGATGAGGACCGTGTATCCAGCACTAACTGTGCCTTGCAGTTTTAAGTGCTTTATGCAGAATTTCACCAAGATGTAGATACTTTTTCTGCCATTTTAATGAATGGACGTTTATGTTTGAGGAACATTTAAATAACTTCACAGAGGTTGAGGAGGTTTTATCTTCATTTTTTGTTTCATATCTCGGAGGTGAAAATGCTTGCGTGGGGTCCCAGATTAGGAGGGTGGAGGCCGGGATATATAGCCATGAACCTCCAAAAGAGCCAGGGCTGGTGCATCACGCTCAGGACGTGGGGCATCTACTGAAGACTGAGGAGGCAACGTGAGGCACAAGATGACGCTTGGGGGATCAACTGGCAGGCTCAGCACACAGTAGATGCTCGATAAATGATTCCTTTGCCTTCTACCTTCTGACCACCTGGGCTTCCCTTTTGCGCCTGGTGGTGACTACAGTACTCAGAAGGTTCTGCACCATGAGGTGGCAGCTCTCAGCCAGTGATGGCCCAGGAGGGGGGCCTTTCCTGGGAGCAGTTCACATTGGGGCAGGACTTTGAGTGTCTTCATGGTGGCCATCTTGGCTACTGCACTTTCACATCCCTCTGATATAAGACTAATATGCCCCTCTCTGGTGTGTTGGCTTCCAGGGGCGTGTGGTGCCCGCTGCACAGAGGCGGCTGGAGATGCAGCAGCAGCCGACTTCCGTTGCTCCCGTGCATTTTGCCCATCACCTCCAATGATGGTGGCCAAGCTGATGGCTGTACCTTCACCCTCCCCAATATGTGGGATTACATGTCTTTGCTTTCCTCTGTCTCTGAAATTGTGTCTGTAGGCTCTGAGGAGGCAGACTCGATCCAAGCCAGCAGTTATATGGAGAGGTTCCCTCATAGAACCCATAGCGATGAGGGGTGAAAGGCATCCCAGGCGTGTCCAGATGCTTGGAGGTGAGGCTGAGCTGTATCCCATGAACTGTAGGTCTCTTTCCTTTCTGGTGGAGACAGCAGAGGGACAGGGTTCAAGCCTGAAATGGTGAGCTGAGGAGCGCGGCCTCTATCCTGAGGGTGGTGGGAGCCACAGGGAATGTGGAGCAGGGTCTCAGCAGGCTTGCTCTGGCTACAGAGTGAACAGACTGGGAAGGGGTGGGGGTGATGGTGGAGGCAGGTGTGGAAATTAAAGCAGCCCACCCAAATAAGAACAAGCAAAGGTTCTTTATTCAGACCCTGCTATAGCAAGGGAGTCAGGCGCCATCACTTGTGTTTGGCTGAGGCTCAAAGGCACGCAGGGGAGAGGGTAAGCTGATTGGCCCTAAATTGGAAGCAGGTGCAGGAGTTAGGGGACATGGTAGTTTTCACCGAGTCCTGACCTTTTTGGTCGGGTTGCTGCAGTGATTGTGGTTTGGCTTCCCATGCTGGTTGCTGCAGAGGTTATGGGTCAGAATTTTGTCTTTATGTCTGGGCACACCACAGGGAACCAGGGAGGAGGCTGCTCTAATAGTCCAAATGAGCATTGGTGGGCTGTGCCTGAGTGAGTGCTGTGAAGGTGGCAGGTGAGGTTGTATTCTCAGTCTTACTTTACTAGGGCTGATTTTATTTTCTGAAGTGGATTGTGACAGAGGGAAGGAAGGGAGTCAGAGATGACCCGACGTTTTGCACCTTGCAGTAGTTATCAACTGAAATGGGGAGGTTGGTTGTAAAATTAATTTTCAGAGGATTAGGTGGAGATAAGAAGATTGTGACTGGTGAGGGAACAGGGACAGTGTGTGTATGATATGCAGAATAATGGCCTCACAAAGATAGCTGTGTGCTAATCCCTGGAACCTTTGGATGTGTTACCTCTCATAGCAAAAGGAACTTGATGTGTGTGATTGAATTAAGGATCTTAAGATGGACAGATTATCCAGTGAGCCCAGTGTAGTTGCAGGAGGATAGAGTCAAAGAAGGAGATTTGAGGAAGGAAACAGGTCCGAGTGATATGATTGCTAGCTTTGAGGATAGAAGAAGGGGCAAGGAGTCAAGGAATGCAGGGGATCTTCAGAAAACTGGCAAAGGTAAGGAAACAAATTCTTCTATAGAACTGCTAGAAGGAATACAATCCTGCTGACATCTTAATTTTAGCCTAGTGAAGCCTAATTTGGGCTTATGACTTCCAGAATTGTAAGATGATAAATGTTTGTTGATTTAAGCCACAAAGCTAGTACTAATTTGTTATAGTGGCAATAGGAAATTAATACAATGTGTAGCAGAGAAATGGAAGAGGGCTGAGGGTGCATAAAGTATGCATGTGGTTCTGGGCGCCTGTGATTGAGAAAAGGAAAAGGTGCAGATTGGGAGGCCTTCAAATCAGAAATGGGGGCTTTCCTTGGCAATTGGGGCCGTTGGAGGTTTGGGGCAAGATAGGAATCCTGATTGTATTGCCAAGTGTTCTCTCCGCACTATGTGGGGAGTCCAGGGTGATGTCTATGGTGTGGGCCAGAAGAGTGGTAGAAGGGAGCCAAAGATGTGGTCCAAGGAGTAATGTGCATGAGAGGAGGGAGTGGGAACTGATGGTCCTAAGGCCCTGTTACTGGAGGCTTAAGTGAGAAGAGTGAGCCCAGGTTTATTCTAGGCAGCATGATCTGGTGTACCCCAGGGGAGATGACTATCAGGAGAGGAGGTAGGCCTTGGTGTGCCAGGCTCAGAGCTTAAATGGCATCTGTCTCCCAACCTGCTTGTTGTTGCTATGGGCTGACACAGTGATCACTGGGGTAATCAGGAGAAAGCAAGGACCAATGGTACTAGTGCCTGGTATCTCCTCTGACTTGGGACCTGGGGAAGTGGGTGAGCAGGATGTTGTTGTGGGTGGATAGTGTGGGCATACTCAGTCAAGAGACTTTTCCTGGACCTTGCTAGCCATGTCATTGCAGGGCTGTGTGATTTCTGAGGATGTGTTTGTGTACTTCTCCTGGGAAGAATGGATTCTCCTTGATGATGCTCAGAGACTCCTGTACCGGGATGTGATGCTGGAGAACTTTGCACTTTTAACCTCACTGGGTAAGGGCCTCACACCAGCCCATCACCTTTTTCCTTTTCCCCATAGACAGCTCTGTCCTTCATGGGCACAGCACTGTCAGTTCATGGGCACTGCCATGATCCTTGCCAGGTTTCCTGGAGTAGGTGCCGTGGGTGCCAGGGCTAAGCTGTATGGAGGGTCCTCGCCTCTTACCGAGCAGTCCTGAAGCCACGTTGCTGAGGGCTTGAGGGTCACAAGATGTGGTTTGCCCAATGGATCCTGTTAATCCTGCTCATTTTCTGGGCTGGTGAATCTGTCCAGAATTATGGCACCTCTGTGCCCAAGGTTCTGTCCCCTTCCTCCAGGTGACATTTTCTGGGGCTCAGTTATACCAAGAGTTATAGGCACTCACATAACCACTACTTGTGAGGACCTTTGGACTGTTGCTACAGAATCTTCCTTCAAGGTTCTTGTTTGTAATTTTTTTTGTTTTTTACTTGTGGTCAGTCATAGGGTGGGTTGCTCTGCACCAGTACTGACTGCTCACCTGTCCTGTGTTTCCGTTAGGAATCGCATCCTCCAGATCACACTTAGTTACACAACTGGAGCAGGGGGAAGAGCCCTGGATGCCTGACCAGGTGGCTGTGACTCCAGCCACAGAAAGAGAGGCTCAAAAGGGACCTGGACCTGGTAAGTGCACACCAGGGAAGGGTATGATGTCAGGGTTGGGTTCAAAACCAGCAATATTGACTCTTCACACCAGTGTTTGGTTTCAAGGCTGGTGGCCACACACTGTTTCTGCCTATCCTTCCCCATTCTTGACACTAAGCCTTATTTCCAGTCTGAATTCTAGCCCCTTGCCATCTCCCATCTCTCTGGTATCTACCTTGCACCTATTATTCCTCTCCACTACTCAGTCTACGTTGTTCTGCAACATTAGCCTACACTTAATGAGTTGTGAGATGGGCATATATCATTAAATAGTCCTTGAACACCAGCTACTCACTTTTAATTGGATTTTTCTGGGCCTGGACATGCCGTTCTGCATAGCATTCACCTGTTGCAATAGCCAAGGTTCTACTGGAAGCTATTTAACTGTATTCCATCCTCACGTCCTTGCCTTCAGGAGGATGCCTCTCCCATTCTGTGACTTTCGGAAGCCCGGTACGCATAGCAACCCCTTCCTCAACCTGACCTGCCTCTCTTGTCCCGGACAAGTCCCATGGACTTATCCCTGGCTGTGTCAGACATTTACGAAGAGTTTTCCCCCTCCACCAAAGTCAACATGCACCTCATCAGTACTTCTCTGCTTTCAGGTTGTTGGTGTGGAGTGGAGAATGAGGATGCATCCTCTGAGCAGAGTGTTTCTTTAGAACGAGTGTCACAAGTGAGGACGCCTATGGTAGTTCTAAAGACCCACCCGTGTGACATGTCTGGCCCAATGTTGAAAGACATCTTACATCTGACTGAATACCAGCAGGGAGAAGCCAAGGAGAAACCACACACGTGTGGGGCATGTGGGAAGCAATTCTGCTTCAGTGCAAACCTTCACCAGCACCAGAAGCAGCACAGTGGAGAGAAACCCTTCAGAAGGGACAAGGGCAGGGACCCTGTGAAAAGCTGCAGAATCTGTGTGTCAGAGAATCCCGACACCTATGTTGAGGGCAGAATGTACTTTCCAGCTACCTCTGGCCTTCTTCAGCACCAGGTCCACCACATCAGGATGAAGCCCCATAAGAGCACTGAGCTTGGGGGAGCCCTTCACATGGGACAGAGGCATCACAAGTGCAACGAATGTGGGAAAGTGTTCACCCGCAAAGACACTCTTACTCGGCATCAAAGAATCCACACTGGAGAAAGGCCTTATGAGTGCAGCCAATGTGGGAAATTGTTTAGCCAAAGCTGTGACCTTTTTAAACACCACACAATCCACACTGGAGAAAGGCCTTATGAGTGCAGCGAATGTGGGAAATTCTTTAGACAAATCTCTGGCCTTATTGAACACAGGCGAGTTCACACAGGTGAAAGGCTCTATCAATGCAGTAATTGTGGAAAATTCTTTAGCAGTAAGTCTAACCTCATTAGACACCAGGAGGTTCACACAGGAGCAAGGCCTTATGTGTGCAGTGAGTGTGGGAAAGAGTTCAACCGCAAACACACACTTGTCCTGCACCAGAGAACTCACACTGGAGAAAAGCCTTATGAGTGCAGTGAATGTGGGAAAGCCTTTAGCCAGAGCTCCCACCTTAATGTACATTGGAGAATCCATAGCAGTGACTATGAGTGCAGCAGATGTGGGAAAGCCTTTAGCTGCATCTCTAAACTCATTCAGCACCAAAAAGTTCACTCTGGAGAAAAGCCTTATGAGTGCAGCAAATGTGGGAAAGCCTTTACCCAAAGGCCAAATCTTATCCGGCACTGGAAAGTGCATACTGGAGAACAGCCTTATATGTGCAGTGATTGTGGGAAAGAGTTCAACCGCAAACACACACTTGTTCTCCACCAGAAGATTCACACTGGAGAAAAGCCTTCAGACTACAGGCAATGTGGGAAATCCTTTAGCCAACGCTCCTAACTTACTGTGCATTTGAGAATTCCTAGCAGTGACTTTGAATGCAGCAGACATAGGAAAGCCTTTATGTAAAGACCAAACCTTATTCAGCACTGGAAAGTCCACACTGGACAAAGGCCTTAGCAGTACAGAGAATGTGCTGTCTCCTTGTTCAACCTAACACCTCTCCCCAGAGGGAAGCTCTGAGAGTAGGCATTTTGAGGGAGCCATCGTTCAGAAATGGAACCTGATACTTAGGAACCCTGGGGAGGTTCCCTATTTGGGCCCAGTGTGTGAGGTGCTTTCAGGAACTGTGTTGCACATTCTAAACTGCCAGGTGCGTTTGCCAGTGGTGGAAGCCATCTTGCTGTTACCATCTGGCAAAATCCCACAGCGTATGTCAGTCCAGAGATGAAGCATGTCCATTTGTGAATAACGATCCTAAGGGTCTTCTGCTCAGATGTCTCTCTGAGTCCCAATGCTGGATTGCCCTGTCTTTCTCTAGCTGTAGCCTATGCTTTGCATTTAAATAAAAGCCCTAAAGGAGAGTGCTCTTGGAGGCTTACAAGTCCAAAGATATGTGTGATGTCTTTGTAGGTGTAGTTACAGATAATAGAAATCAATGTATATAGAAAGGTGTACTTGTGTATATATCCTCTCCCTCTCTCTGTCTTTGAAAGAACCTAACAGTCAGTGACTTAGCAGTAGAAAAGAGCACAACTAGTGCTCAATTGTTTATTTACAAATACCATTCTCCAATAAAAGGAACCAGAGCCTGTCCAGGCTGTGACAGGAAAAGTGCAACATGTGCCTGACAATATTCTTGCCTTCAGAAACGGAATTCTCAATAATATTGACACACACAAAAAAGCAGAGAGGCTACAGCTTTAAGGACACTGTCCAAATCTGGGACAATTTTAAAATGTCCAGGTTTCCTTCTTGCAGTCCACAACTAGAAAATAAAATGAAATGTATGGTGCAGTTCAGGAAGTCTCCAAGACTGCTCTCAGGTTCAGTACTTCACTAGAAGACTGCACAGAACTCAGCAAAGCTGTTATGTTCGTGATTACAGTGTATGACGGCAAAAGATTCAGATTAAAATCATCAACAGAGAAAGGCCCATAAGGTAGAGTCTATGAGAGACCAGGCACTGACTCTCCAGTTGTCTCCAATGGAGTCATGTGGACAGCACTGATATCCCTCAGTAACTGTGTGATGATACATGTGGAGTATTGCCAACCAGGAAAGCTCACCGAGCCTTGGTGTCCAGAGTTTTCATTGAGGATCATGCAGATGTGTCTGACCACCATGTAGCTGACCTTAGTCTCCAGCTCCTCCAGAGGTAGAGCTGATAACGTGTGGGCATAGGCACCACCCACGTGATCATAGGATCCAGGAGCTCCGCGTGTTTCCAAACTCGGCCTTAAGGGAAAAGAGGCTACCTGCTTGTGAATACGATGACTACCTTCTTGCGTTCCCCTAGTAGCATATTTCTGCATAAACCATTTTCATTTTATTAGGAAACACTTCTGGGCACTGCCTGCCTTATTAGAGTGTTTCTCTAACGTCACCTGACTCATGGGGATAATGTCAGGTCTCAGGATTATCTTATGTTCTTCAGTATTAGGGAAAGTCTCCATTAAATCTCAATAGCCAGCTAGTAATTGTATCTCAAACAGAAATTTTCTGGTCTAACATCCCAGTGGTAGCCCCTTGGTGGTGGTCACAGGCTTTTGCCATAAGCCCCAATCTGGATTCCACATGAGGCTATTGTAGAGAGAATTGTAGAGCTATTGGATGCCACCAGCACTCCAGCTTTTAACATGTCATTAAAGAAGTAATCTCTGTCCACCAGGTATCTATACTGTTCCATATTCACAACCTATGTGGGTTCAGGCAATATTACTGGTTTTCATTTGGCATGTCCAATCTATATTGGCTGAAGGGCAAATTTACATGCTTCCATTTTACAATATCAGATAAAAGAAGGTAGGAGTCATTTTTCCCGTATGGATATTCTGTTGTCCCAGCACCAATTATTGAAGAAAATGTCCTTTACCCACTGCACTTCAGTGTCATCTTTTTTACAAATCAAATGACCGTATAGGTGTTGATCTGTATTGGGACGCTATTCTATTCTCTTGCTCTATTTGCCTTTGTGCTGCAACTTCGATCTTAATTTATGTGGTCTTACAATGACATGGTGTGACCTGGTTGTGAATCAGCTTCCTGATTTTTTCCTCTTCAGAATTGTCTTGAAAATTTTGGGCCCTTTGATGCCCCTATAATTTTACAATCAGTTTGTCAATTCTCTCTCTCTCACACACACAACTTGCTGGGTTTTCCTTGGCATTGCATTGAATTTATAAAGCAATTTGGGGAGTATTTGAAACCAGCATGAAACGTATATATTATTACATTTTGAAGTGTTTTTTCAAAATTTTTTTCCTCCATCTTTATTGAGGTGTATCATTAAGTTGTGTTTTAAAAATTATAAATTTCCTTGTGAAATTTTTGAACAGATTTATAGATATGTAAATTTTAGGTGAATAATCACTCTGACACACTCCTCACCTGCATCCATGTCCCGACCTGGAAGGAACACTTTACAATGGATGAATGTGATATTGTGGTTTATAAGAAATACATATTTGGTCATTCAGATGTGAGCCATTCTAGCAAATTAATCAAACCCAAGGAGGGGGTCATGGGAAACATCTGTAGCCAGTTGGACAGAAGTGCTGGTAACAACCTGGGCTTGTGACTGACGTCTGAAGGGGGGGGCAGTTTTGTGGGACTGAACCCTTAACCTGTGGAATCTGTTGCTATCTCCAGGTAGGTGGTGTCAGAATTGAGGTGAATTTTGAGACAGCGAGCTAGTTTCCAGAAAATTGCGTGGATGTGTTGGAAAATTCCTCCCCATGTTGAAATTGATACCAGAACTATTAATGAGTATCTTCGTTCATTTTCAAATATTCACTATCTCTCTTAACTCACCTCTGATTGACTTCCTGTTGAGTGAATTTCCCCTCCCCATTATCTTGGTGGAACTTTACTAATTATCAGTGACCATAGGGTGTCAGTGGTCATCGAGGGTGGGATATCACCGGTTATCACCAGCCCAGTAGTTTGTTTACCGAGAGTGAGGTATCTCTTTTGTACTTTGGTGTTAACTGCTCTCTTTATTTCATTTTGCTTACTGAATTGCAAAATGAAAACAGGAATTATTGACTTAATTAATCCTGAATTGAACCATCATTGTGAAAAATATGAAAAAAAAAGTTCTCAAAAAACCTACTGTGTAAAGACGTGACTTGTAAAACAAGATTAGAAAAGATATATAAAATTTTATGTATTTGGCACTGTGGATGGTTTTTCCACCCTACTTTACATTTGCAGGCCACACTTTGAAACTCCAAATTGCAAGTCATGCTTGACTAATTATTGTTTTTACTAAAAAAAGATGATATAAATTTTGTATAAGTGTGAATCGGCCATAAACTAATATTTAATCAGAAGGCTAAGTGCATATTTGGGAAATTCAATGTCATTTTCAATTAGTTTTGCATTTTTCTGGTGTTTGTGAGAAAAATATTTTATAATTTATGGCTTCTTTTCTCTAAGAATTGCCTGTTCAGAAACATTGCCAAAAAAGTACTCAGATTATCATCTCTTATTTTATGTTCTATGAACTTAAATGTTTTATTTTTTTATGTGTCTTTCATTTTTAAGTAATTTTTAATTTTTATGAATGCATATATTAAAAAAGTGTTGTGCTCTCTGGTTTGGTTCATGCTTAGTAATATTTTGCTAAGATAAAATTATGAAGACATACTGTAATATTTTTATCTAAGAGTTTTGTCATTCTTTATGTCTAGTACTTATTTATTTTTCTCTAAGATTAAAGCTAGAAATGTTTGCTATGAGTTTTTAACTAAATCTCCAATATTTCAATATTTAGTAATTTATGTTAAACTATTTCTCCCAACAAATTCATCATCTACTTTTATTATATATGAGCTCCTATAAACTTCTCCTAGGGATCTAACAGCAAACATGGATTGTTTCAGGCTCCTTGTTCTATTCTTTTTTTGTTTTCACCAATAACAATATGTGGTAATAATATTTTATATATTGTAATGCAATTATTTTCATCAAACTGATTTGTTAGTTAACTTATTTAAAAGTTTGTGTACTTTTGTTACTAGTACAGGAACTTCAGAAATGTTTATATTTGTATTGGAACTTTATTCAATAAGATACTTTTGTGAATTGTTATTATAAATGGAAAACTTCTCCTCTAAGACAATTTTCTGTTATTATTTAAAATGGATTTTATGAATTAAATGAGATTTTTAGTTTTTTTAGCATTTTCCTCATACTTCTTAATTTTAATATTGCACCATTTTACTTGTGTTTTATTTATATATTTTTCCTTATAGATTTAAGGAGGATGTTACTTATGAATAGGGAAAATTTTGACTACCTGGCATATGTGATGATTATAAACTACATAATTGATTCTGATAATATTTCATGTGGGGGACTGGCCCAGTGGCATAGTGGTTAAGTGCTCAGGCTCTGCTTCTGTGGCCTGGGGTTCTCGGGTTCAGATGCAAGGTGTGGACCTACACACCACTCATCAAGCCATGCTGTGGTCGTGTCACATATACAAAATAGAGAAAGATGCCACAGTTTTTGGCTCAGGGCTAATCTTTGTTAGCAAAAAGAGGAAAATTGGCAACAGATGTTAGCTCAGGGCCAATATTCCTCAGCAAAAACAAAGAAAAGAATAAAACAAAGTTAAAAAAAAGATTTCCTGTGGTTCTATAGTGTTTCTCAAGTGTGCAACAATTTTAGTTCTCAATCATGGAAATTTAAATACATCTTACAGCTATTATTTCTGCACTGCTGAGGGGACTCTGCTCAGAAGATGAAGACTCGATAAGGGAATGTCCAGCGTGGTAGTTTTCTTCCTTCTCAATTTGAAAAAGCCCCCATATTTTACCATCCAATACTGATTAATCAGTGAATTTTGGGAAGAAAAAAATGTTCTTCACATGGAAATGTTCCCTAAAATGTTGGTGAAATTTTTTTTCTTTTGTATTTTTCCACCTTTATCCATCATGAAAAATATTTTTATATGGCCATACACAGATCTCATCCAAAATCAACTCTGTGTGTTTGTCCAGAGTCGTCTTAATGTGAATTGATTTTCTACTTGTAACAATTGGGAGATTTCC